TTTTATGCCAAGATCTTCCTTAAGAAGTTAGTTTTCAAGGAAAATTGGTTTCATTGAAAAAGAGTGAGCAGTTTGTAAGGAAATCTGATTTTCGTAACGGTCGACGAATCTGGACAGCGCTGGAATGTTTCTTAAATAACTAAAAATATATAAAAGCTATCCCATTTCCGAAATATGTTCTGGAAACTAGATTAAATTCTCTTCGAACCATAGGAAGGCCGAGTTCGGGAAAATTCTGAAACAACCCTTTCGAATTTTAATCTTTAACGGGTACTAAATCTGAAATTTCTATTTGGCATTGGTATTTCATGCTATTGTGTTCATGAATATGCTTGTTAATATATATGAATGTGTCTTAATATGATATCACACATATCATGGTTGTATATCTTATATTTTAGCCCTTCAATGATGCTTACACTTATGCAAGTTTACTCTTGTTACTTACTTGTACTAATCAACTTAAAACATTAATCTAAAAGGAAACTTAATGGGGTGGCTAATGGGATTTCGATCACATGAGTATTATTATGAAATAAATTTATGTCCCAATTGAATTGTTTGGCAGGGCATGTTCCCTTTGTACTAACCATGTTAAAACATTAATCTAAACGAAACCTTAATGGGGTGGCTAATGGGATTTCGATCACATGAGTATTATTATGAGATAAATTTATGTCCTAATTGAATTGTTTGGCGGGGCGTGTTCCCTTTTAAAAATTACAGTCTTGCGCAAGTAGTTGTTCGAAACCCTTGAACGGAGCGGTTGTATTCGAACCCTAGGTGGTTTGGTGTAAGGAGGGAATGGGCAAGGCCCTATTTTACCGTCTCTTTTGAGGCCCTGTGGTTGGCGCTACGTGGTACATAACCGTTGCTAGGCATCCGAGGTAAAGTCTGCAACAAAGCAGCAAAAGATGGGGCATATCAAATAATCCACGTCCGATTCTTGTGGTTGGGAGGACGAAGTCTCTTTGGGGGATTTCTAGTTTACTAACACCTAACTATGTAACCCTTTACTTGTTTAGTTGAATATCATGCTTCATTACTTGTTGTCATATTTGTGATTGTGTATTGGACCGGGAAAAAGGGACGGGGTGTGTGTGCGTTTACTGGGCATTCGAAGCTCATGGCATATCATGCCAGGTACTAAAGAAGATACCGCGCCAGGAGACAACGAACCAGAGACCTATGAAGACTTCTGGCTATCTTTGACTAGCTAAACTCCTTTTTGTTGTTTTGTACAGTCCCTCAGAAACCTCATCTTTTGTTGGAATGTAATATTGATGGGGTTTACTCTTATAATTAGGGTTATATGTAATTATTCTCTTATTATTGTACACATAATATGTTTATTTTGTCAACTTAGTTTCCTACGTTGCTCTTGAGACCTTGCGTCAATGCTATGTAAGATCTGTTAAAAAAGTAGTTTATTGCCTAAGAAAGCTGGACTTAGAAGGGAGGCTAATTTGACTCTTCCAGCGATCTGGGATATTACTAGTATTGTCCATAGGACTTAATAGTGACTTTCCCTTGCTACCACCCTTAGTGTAAATTTTTGAGCGTCACAATCAAAAAGGGGGAGATTGTTAATCCTATGGTTTGATTTTGATGATGTCTAAAATATTATGAGATAAATTGTGATTTTTTAATTTATATTTTTTACAATCATTTGACACAAAATATGAAAATAAAATTTGTCATTTTGATATAGATTGCACCGATTTAAAAATAACTAAATTTATTGGGCATCTTTTGAATACTTTAATTTAATATATAAAAGAAATTCAAATCATTTCCATATTTTTTCTTATTCATTTTCTTCCTTTGATTGATTTGAAGTGTTTCTTGGCAAGAATGATGCAAGTCCAAAAGGCTAATGAATTCAAATGGAAGAAAAATAGAAGGAAAGAGGAGCCTACCTAGAATTTCTTTGCAATGGTTAGTTTTTTCTATGGCTATAAAAGAAGCTTTGTGGAGAAAAGAAAAGACATAGAAGTGGTGAAAAATTGTGGGTGACATTCAAGAATTCTTAAAATATTGTGTTGTGCATTTTCATTGAGCTATATAATTTCTTTGAGAGAAATTTGTTAAGTGTTTGAGCTTTTATTGAAAAAGGGTTTCCAATCGCTTATCATTTTTCTTGTAAAAGAGAGTTATATTTTTGTGAGTGATTTTTTTTTATAAAATCACTTAGGTTAGGTGTGACTAGCACCGGATTCATAACTAGTTGGTTGGAGTGATCAGGGTTGATCAATTATTAAGGTTCACTAGCACCTATAAAGCTAGGAGTGTAATTCTATTTGATGAATAGTGAAGAAATCTCAAGGAGGATCTTGAGGAGTAGACGTAGGCTTGATTTGAGCTGAACCACTATAAATTCTATGTTTGCTCTCTCTTCCGTTCCTGCGCTTAATTTATTTTTATTAGTCTCATTTATATTTTTTCATATTTATTTCTCATTTGGATTAAATTTTAATTTATTACTCATCTTTATTGTTTCATATTGTTAATTGTTTATTATTTGGGTTAATTTTTTAATTTAGAAATTTATTTAGAAACCCAATTCACCCCCCCTCTTTTGTTGCTTTCTGTGTAACAACATATCTATACTATGAAATTAACACATATTCAAACCAAAATATTGATATACAAGGGTAAAAGTATTCCTACCTCAAGAGTTGTAAGGGGAGAGATGAAAACCCAAGAGATGAACCTTCACAATAACGAGATCCAATCAGTTCAAAATGTAGCCTTAGGTGAGATAAATAACTTTGATGAGGGAGAAATGATGGATTCTAGCTAAAAAATGATGAAATCTAGTGTTTAGGAGCTAGGGTTTTTGGAAATGGGGTTTAGAGAGAGAATGAGTGTGAAAGAGTGAGCCCAAAGATCGAATTTTAAAATAGTTGTCCGGAATAGACTGCTCGAGCAAACTTTTCATCGCTCGAGCAACGCGTACAATACAAGCAGACCGCTCAAGTGAACTATCCACCACTCGAGTGGTAAACGCAAGGTCTCAGATGTTTTGCAGAGCTATAGTGAAAATACTAGAAGCATGATGGAGCGACCACTATACCACTCGAACACATCAAACTTCTCCCCATACAGATAGTGCCTTCAAAGTTTTAAAGCAAAAATGACTGCTACTAATTCCAGATCGTGAGTAGAGTAGTTCCTCTTATGAGTTTTCAACTGACGCTACCCATATGCCACAACTTTACCCTCTTGCATCAAAACACACCCTAGACCTTCTCTAGAAGCATCACAATAAACCGTGTAATCTAACCCTCTCTCCAGTATAATCAAGATTGGTGCAGTAGTCAGACTAGACTTCAACTCTAGAAAATATTTCTAGCATGCCTCACTCCAAATAAACTTCACACCTTTTCTAGTTAACCTAGTCAACGGAGAAGCTAGAATAGAAAAACCTCTTACAAATCGTCTATAATAGCCGGCGACGCCCAAAAAGCTACGAATTTCAAAGGCGTTCTTTAGTCGTTCCCAATTTTGTACGGCCTCTATTTTTTAAGAATCCACTGTGACCCCATCTGTAACGCTCTCAAAATAACCCATTATATATATATCATTGACATGCATTCTTTAAAGAAAACAATTTATTAATACATTCATCAGAGTATTACTAAATAAACGCATTACATGTAACATCGAATAAAATGCCCTACAGGCTTACATCCTTCCAAGCCAACACTTGGATACAAAAATATGAGTTCTAACTCAATACAAGAAAAGCCCTAGGCTTGAATGTTTACATGTACTAAGAAATAAAGACAATTAACTAAAGATAGTCTTCTTCAAAACCCAGAAGCCAAACCCTCCCAAGCTAAGTCCTTGGAGGTAGTTTATCACCGGAACCTGAAAATGATGTTCCCATAAAGGGTGAGCCACAACCCAGCAGAAATATACTAAACCAAATATAAGCATTGAATAAAGCAATAGCATTCAATAATTGGTTAACCAAGATAATCAGTTATATCTTTATACAGTTTCATGACATTAATGTCTAAGACACGTTTTACTTTCCAATATATTAATTCAATATGGCTCAGAACCTGGCCAAACTAATCAAAATGCGAGCCTCAGAACATCGTAGAAACATTTGGAAAAATATTTTGAAAAGAGGGTTTCAAAGTCTAAAATAGTTTGGCCAAAATTGGGTGTAAGGTTTGGGATTAGCGCTTGAATCCAAATTTCTTCACTGAGAATTCAAAAGATTGCATAGTGTAACTTTCATCATCGGGTGTTTGGAATAAAGCGTGGTGAAAAATGGGGTGCCTACACCTGGTCAACGGTGTGGCTAGTCTAGAGAAGTGCCTTACAAAACAATGATAATACCCAGCTAACCCTAGGAAACTCCGGATTTCAATAACATATTTAGGTTGTTCCCAATCTTGCACGGCATCTATCTTAGAAAAGTCTACAGTTACTTCTTCTCTTGACACAACATGCTCCAAAAACTTCATTTTAGTCAACCAAAACTTGCATTTATCAAATTTAGCATACAGTTGGTGCACCCTAAGTAAATCAAGAACTATCCGTTAATGTTCCTTGTGTTCCTTCTCGGAGGTCGAATAAATCAAGATGTCATCCACAAAGATGACCACAAAACGGTCTAAGAATTCTCGGAAGACTTGATTCATCAAGTCCATAAAAGTAGCAAGGGAATTAGTCAAGCCGAGAGGCATTACAAGAAACTCATAGTGGCCATATCGTGTATGAAAGGCCATTTTCAGAATATCCTCCTCCTTCACCCGCAACTGATGATAACCCAACCTTAGGTCTATCTTTGAAAAACATCAGGAATCTTTAAGTTGGTCGAAAAGATCATCTATTCTAGGCAACATATATTTGTTCTCAATAGTAACCCTATTCAACTTGCGGTAATCAATGCATAACCGCAATAAACCATCCTTTTTCTTAGCAAAGAGAGCCGGTGCTCTCCATGGTGAAGTACTAGGGCATATAAAGCCCTTGTCTAGTAACTATTGCAACTTCTCCTTCAAAATGAGCAATTCTGTCGGCACAAATCTATAGGGTGACATAGATATGGGTGCCGTGTTGGGCACCAAGTCTATAGAAAACTTGACCTCACGGTAAGGTGGCAATTCAGCGAGGTCCTCAGGAAAGACATCAAAATATTCATAAACCACTCTAGGGAATACACTTTGAATCCTACTATTCCCATCAACCAAGAAGGTTGCAAGAAGAGAGCTAAGTTTGCCTCGAGTACGTGGGTCATACCACGATAGTAGCAATCTATCAATTCTATCCCCCAGAAAGGAGAAACAATCACCACCCAATGTGCACACAGTAACTCTCCTACAGTAATAGTTTATAATGGCACAATAGGAGGACAACCAATCCATGCCAAGAATGATATCAAAACCCGACATATCTAATAACACAAACCTGAAAGGGAGTTAGCAATCATCGACTTCAATCATACACCCACGATATCCCTAATTCAAGACAATCTTACCCTCAACAGGTGACTCTACCATGAGTGGAGACTCTAGTTGTTCACTTTCTAACCCCAAAATAGACGCGAATGCAGATTCTATGAATGAATGTGATGCTCCGATGTCTAGCAACATATTAGCCTAAGTATTAAAGATAAGATATGTACCTCTCACTACTGACGGCCCAGATGACTGCTCAGATAGGGTAATGACATAATCTCTCTCCTGTGGTCCCTGTTCATTTCGATCTCCTCTTTGAACGTAGGCCAGTTGAACTGACTGTGTGGAAGTGGCCCCCTATACCGCCTTAGATGCTTGTCCAGATTGAACTACCATGGTTATCTGTGGACAAGACCTCTTCATATGACCAGACTGGTCACACTGATAGCAGATGGGTGATTGATCTTCACCTGGTGTCTGGCTCTAAGAACGAGCTGAAGTTTGACGTTGTTGACTACCCCTTTGTGGACGTGCAGCGAACTTATGACCTTGCTCACCATATCGATAACAAGTAACTCCACTTTGTCCCATACTATTAGTACTCTTCCCTAGCCTAGGAATCAATGACACGGCTGGTAGAGATGGTGACTGAAAAGACGACGAACCCCTAAACTTCTTAGAGGACCCCAGATCACCTCGGGATTCCGAGTATCCCGACCTCTTCAACCTTTACCATGCATCTTCTACCTCTATCATGATTTCCACATGTGTTGTGACCTCCACGAACCGATCATAATCCCTAATCATATTACCCACCACCTTCATTAGAATTTTTGGTTTCAATCTCTTCTCAAATTCTAAACATCAGCGTTTTTCCGTTGCCACAAGTTCAGGTGCAAAACGGGAAAGACTAGTGAAAGTGGTTTCAAACTCAGCCATTGGTGTGTCAAGCTACATCAACTCTTCAAATTGTCTCATCAACCGCTCTCTAGCAGTGGAAGGAAGGAATTTCTCCTGGAAGGCATGTGTAAATGCCTCCTAGGTGTGCTCAACTCAGTGTTTAATAGACTTCTACCATTGACTGGCTTCCTCTCTTAATTGCTAAGCTACCAACGCTACTTGAAGTTCTCCGTCATGAATATCCAGGATTTCAAAGGATTTGATAATTTTTTCTAGCCACTCATCAACCTTCATGGGATCCGGGCCACCTGTGAACTCAGCGGGATTAGAATGATAAAATTCTTTCTTTAAGAAAGAAGTTCTAGTTTCTCATTCTACGATTCTAGCCGCTTGCTCAGCTCTCAATATATCCATGGACTCTCTAAGAGCCCTGGCCGTTTCTTGGGCTAGTGCTCCCATTGCATCTTGGGCCGGAGGTGCGGCCACATTGTTTTGTCATACCCTTTCTTCTTGGTGAGGAAGGTCTTGTTGGGCTGGAATACCTGACCACCCTGGCAAGGCCTACCATGGCCTCTACCACGTCTAGACATCCTACATAAAAGTAAAGATAAGGTAGGATTAACTCACAATTCACGTACTCACATGTCATTCCAAGAATCACACCCGAATAGTCTTAACCCTACTCGTGTATCGTTTTTGTTGGGTATACCTTCTTAGTGGAGTATGGGACCCAATTAATTTATTAAAAATATTTAATTTGGTTTGGTGTTGGTTATAATGTATTTTTAATATATTATATCTAACTTTTGGAGGCCTAATGGGTATTTAATAATCTGTTTGGTGGTAGCTAGGGTTTTGATAAAAAGCCTAAGAATCAACAATATATTTATATATTGTTTTTGTTCATCATATATGTGGCAGCTGCTATGATTTGTAATTAGACTATTCGGTAGTGGTGTCTATGTGCTGATGAACAAGCAATAGTGTTACTCTGCTTCGTCTAGTTCAGTTTTTGGTTCTGATTTGGGCGCATTATTTTGGGTTTTCTACAATTCTGTTTGAAAAACAATTTATTCATCTATTTGGTGAGGTCTTTCCTTTTGATTATTTTGTGATTATTTAGAATTTACCTAAGGGTGGTTTGTGAGACCATTCACGTCTCGTTTGTAATCGTTTGAAAACTTTTGATTGATAGTGGAATCAGATTTCGGTCCCGTGAACGTACCCCACATTGAGGGAACCAAGTAAAAATTCTTGTGTCGTTAATTTAATTTTTGTGCATTAGTTTTTATTTCCATTGATTGATTTACTTGTGGGAAATCATCTATTTTCCTTAACATATTTCACATAAGGCAAACCACATAAGCACATAAACACATGGAACACATACGGGTTACCCACCTAAGATATCAACATGTTTCACGGCGCTCAAAGACTTCCAAGTGGAAAAAGTATTGATCAGGTGCTTTTCCAAGAGGACTTCAATGAATGCAATGAATGCAAGTTGTATCCTTTAAATTTGACCCCATACCCATATAGTCACATAAACACATAATCATGTTTACCAATTAACATCCTTTCCTAACATAGCAAACCCATCATGGCGTTAGCCACTTCCCATGAGCTCAAGGTATTCAAACTTGGTTCGCTCTGATACCAATTTGTAACACCCCAAAATTTGAAACTATAAACTATCCAGCACAACAACGATGTACATATAATAGTAAACTCACATTCACAATGAATCCCAACTTTTCTCTTTCACATTGAACTATAATTTCAGAGTTACAAATTACATATTAACCGTTCATAGGTTATTAAGTTAGAGCAAACAAAACAATTGGCTCATGGGCTTACAAGTTTCAAATATGGCCATCAAAGAACAAAAGGGCCCATAACTTTCATAAAGAAAACAACGTAAAAGTTCAACTATTAGATTCTAATTTCAAAATATCTTTAAGTTTAATACAAAAGGGTTGGTCAGCTTCTTCTTCATTGATGTGGTTGCAGTTCGCCAAGTACTAAAATGTTATTAGATAGGAATGAACAATTGCCTAGTAGAGAATAAATTTAACCTAATATATAAACATTTGATTTAAAAATGCATTATCACACCTCTTACTCAAAAGCATTTAATTATCCAATTTCATAATCCAATACACATTATTTAACCAACTTCCACATTTCTCTGTCCTCACACGAACGGCCAGGGGCACCTCAACTTTCCACATTTACCGTCCTCACAGGATCGGGCACATGGACACCTCAAACATCCCCCCACATTTGTCATCCTCACACAATTGGGCAAGTGGGCACCTTAATTTTTCCCGCACGGGTAAGACCATAGTATACAATATACATGCCATCAAAACTCAAATTTTATTCCAAAACAAGGAATCTCAATAAATTTCACATTACGCATGATTTCCCTTCTATGACCGATCAAGACCCATGAACATTAATTAGGGTTTTACAAGACAATTTGGGCTTTTCATTTCCTTCTTTCATTTGCCTAAATTTAAGATGTGTTCAATAGTTTTCATTAAAAATTAATCAATTCTTCCATAAATCTTAAGGCTAAACCCAACATCACCATTTATGTCAGTAGATATATACATATATATATCATCGTCCCCTCCTAATCACATATCCATACCATAAAATTAACACATATTCAAACCAAAATATAGATATACGAGGGTAAAAGTATTCCTACCTCAAGAGTTGTTAGAGAAGAGATGAAAACCCAAGAGATGAACCTTCACAATAACAAGCTATACGATGAAAAACATCTGAAGAAGTACGCCCAAGTCTCTTATTCCAAGTAGCAGTTGGAGAACTAGTAAAATAGAAAAAGCCTTTGAACAGTGATCAAACTGAGAGGAAAGGAAACTGATAGAGACCATTCTGATGATGACCTCTACATAGAACTTGTTTGTTGTGTTTGTCCTAAATAACAAATGGTTTATCATCAAATGTAATGGTGCACACATTATCATATGCGAGTTGATGAGAGTGTACATGCAATGCAAATTGTCAAATCATGACCTACCATCTTCAGAACTAATTATTAAGTTTCCTCCTATAATGGACATATTGATTTGAGTATATCAAGTGAGCACAAGGTTGGGAACACTGTGCTCGAACGAAGTTGATGTTTGAACAACTTACTGAATCTCTTCTTCTAATACATCTGTTAAAATATAATATTCGGAAAAATTAGTAGTACCCTATGAAGCACGGGGTACTCCAAAAATGTTGTCGTACAAGTACCGGATACTTCCTTGGTGTGGGTACACTTACCGGTATGGCTGCACGAGTACTGGGTACACCGTATACGTACCAAGTACACCAAATACAGTCTGGGAAAGTTGGGTACGCGGTGGGTATTCAATGGGTACTCCACAACAGTTGATTTTTTTTTTTTTTAAGTTGGAATTTGATGCAAGTCTACAGCCTTATTTCTCTTTAATCGTCTTCAAAAGCTTTATGTAATTTGGAACCACCAACTCTTTACATTGTTATTGTGTAACTTTCCCCTATTCCACTTATTGTTATATAGTATTGTATTTGTATTGTTGAATATTGATTTATTTTGGGTTTTGTAATTTCTTTTTATAGCTATTGTTGTGAACTTTGATTTGTAGGTGGGATGTTTAGCTATAAATTTAATAAATAAATAAATATTTGGCGTAACCTAGCCATAACCGTATCTTACTTTTTTTAGATTTCAGTGTATTGATGTACCCGTATCGTAATCGTACCTGTATCCGTACTTGTTCTGACACCCGTGCTTCATAGGTAGTACCCCTTTTATCAATTTTGTGTTGGCTATTTGTATTAAGAACAATACCTTTTTTTTTTCCTCGTATAATTTAGTAAAATTTCAAAATTATTTCCATTTTTTGGAAACAAAAATGAGACACCAAACAAGTTTTTGTTTCCCGTTTTCAAAATATTTGTAAAACATAAACAAAAGATTATAAAGATAAACATTACCAAATAGGAGTTTAAGAGCTTAACCAAAAGAAAAATCAGGAAATAATTGGAGGGGATGTTGATCTTGTTACCCAATCTTTGTTGAGAAGTGTTGATCCTGATAAGTATTGAATATTAACCACTCAACCATAGATCGAATTATTTCTCTGTATCCTGGTTGTATTTTTTTCTAGTCATTGCAAAACCGCAATGACTATGGACAAATGCCTAACTTTGGGATGAACCGCCTTCAATCTTGTGTTGTTGTGTGTACATATGATTTACAATTCCTATTTTGTTCCTTTCTATTTTCATGT